CCTCTATCTGGGAAAACTCATTCACTGGAGATAGGATATATTTATATAGAAAAGTAACTTTCTATTTATCTCTGGTAATAATCAATTTTAAAAAATACATAGATATATGTTCAACATTAAATATATCAAAATATGGCCGGGCGCGGTGGCTTAAGCCTGTAATCCCAGCACTTTGGGAGGCCGAGGCGGGTGGATCACGAGGTCAAGAGATCGAGACCATCCTGGTCAACATGGTGAAACCCCGTCTCTACTAAAAATACAAAAAATTAGCTGGGCATGGTGGTGCGTGCCTATAATCCCAGCTACTCAGGAGGCTGAGGCAGGAGAATTGTCTGAACCCAGGAGGCGGAGGTTGCGGTGAGTCGAGATCGCGCCATTGCACTCTAGCCTGGGTAACATGAGTGAAACTCCGTCTCAAAATATATATATATATATATATATATATATATATATATATATATATATATATATATATAAATATATTTTTTAATTCGTTGTTAGTGGATTATTTGTCTATGTCATGAGTGCACTGAATTCATATTATAGCATCTTGTCTTCATGTCACAGTCTTATTTAATCTGTGACTTTTCACCATGGAATCAAAATGGGCAACTGGATTCTAATTTATATGCCTAATAGAAAGCTGTAGACCAAAAAGCACATTTTAATTGTTAGAATTACATATTTCTAGAAACCCTTGCTATAAGACAAGAATATCAAAAGTACATGTTGAATATATATAATACACATAAATAGATGCATATGTAGTCATAGAACAAGATTAATAGCTGGCATCACTGAAAATAATATGAGTTTAGGAGTCAGTTTAATGTTAATTAAGAACATGTGATCTTTGACATTCATTTTTACCTGGTTTCCATGCTTTTAAGGACTTAAAAATGAAAGAATGAAATCAGGTTTTCTGTCTAAACTCAAGGTGTCTTAAGCAACACATGAAGCTGCTTCATTTCTCTCATTTTAATAACTAAAGATAACACAGTTGCATAGCTAGTTAGCAACAAACACAAAGCCACTGTTTCTACCCTTGAAGGAATCTAATGTACATATTTTATAATTTGTAAAGGCTACATGTTAGTCCATATTTGTGAAGCAAATTAATTGGCAATTTTAGGCTGGCATGGAGGCTCACTCCTTTGATAACAGCACTTTGGGAGGCTGCGGCAGGAGGATTGCTCGAGCTCAGGAGTTCAAGACCAGCCTGAGCAATGTAGTAAGACTTCATCTCTACTAAAATTTAAAAAAAATACCTAGGTGTGGTGGCACATGCCTATAGTATCAGCTACGCAGGAAGCTGAGATGTGGGAGGATCAGTTAAGCCCGAGAGTTCAAGGCTACAGTGAGCCGTGATCACACCACTGCACCCCAGCCTGGGTGGCAGAGCAAGACCCTATCTCTAAATAAATAGGCAGTTTTATGTTTATGAAACTGTACATGTATCACTTTATGACATTTTTAGCAGAAAAAAATTTGCGTTTAACAATGTCATAATGTGATTATAAGTTAAAACTAATAATTTTAAAACAAAAACAATCACAACAAAAATACACATATACAAAACTATTTCACACCAGTTAAAAAAAAAAAGAAATACTTTCTGACCATAAAATCTGTTGGACAAAACTGGAAATGGGTCTGTGATACATATGTTTACCTCTTACATTATACAAAAATTAATTTTAACCCATTTATCAAGATGTTTACTCAGGCTTAAGAATAACCTGTGTGTTAACAAATTGCTTGATCAGTGTTAAGTATTGTACATCATAAAATATGTTGTATGGGTGAGTAGACATCAGGTAATTACAATGGGTTGTTAAAATGTCAGTTTCAGCAAAGAACACATTGTGATAAATATCAGATATTTCAGTGAGGACCAAGATGCAAATTTTCGGAAGAAATATTTAAAAGCTAGTGTTGACTGTTAAACCTTTCATCCACATTGAGAACATAATATAATGTGGTTTTTGGAGATTAAAGAAAGTTTTCTATCAGAGAGCATTTCTCTGCAGAGAATTGTGCTGTCAGACTTGCCTCATCCAGTTGCTTCTCCCTTCATCTCAAGAGAAAAGGGCTTCAGAGAGACTTTTGAATGACATGATAGGTTTTTCCTGCAGATCTTGGTGGGCTCAGTGGAGATGGGGCTGAACAAGCAGCCATTCTGTGGAAGTGAAGGAGAGATAAATGTGGGGATCATCTTGCAGAGACTCCCAACTTTTGTTTAGATAGACATCCATGAATGTTTCCTGTAGACCAGTTTGAGCCATGGTCATGAAATGGTAGGAATGAGATCGATTCAGGCCCTGTTCAATAGGGAAGTCTGGAGAGAACATGGGACCTCAGTTGACAAAAGGTGAATTCCAAATGCTAATAAGGAGAGTATGCAAGGCTGTGTTTCATGGGTGTGCAACCTGTGCAGTCACAAAGGCCATGCACTTAGAAGGGCCGCTTGCCTGGTTAAATACTGCACTGTTGCCATCTTGAAATGCTTAATAATTTTGAACAAAAAGCCCATGTCTTCCTCTTGCAGTGGGTCCTGCAGATTATGTAGCTTGTCCTATGGCCTACGTTGAAGAAACTGTAGATGAAGGAGTCCCAGCAGTGCAAGAGGGGGTGTTCCTGTAAGAAATCACCAAGCCCTTCACGGGAAAAGAGTAGGCTTTAAATATTCTGCACACTCTGTTGGTAAACCCAGCTGACCAATTGAACCAATCAGGTACAGCGTTCCTGCTCCCGTCATCTCTCCTTTATCATCTACCTCCAGTCTCTTCCAACCCAGAGGGAACTAAAACAGCTTAGAAAGAGGGGGAGAAGGTCTTGGGGAAAAGAGAGAGGTTGCCATATAAACCCCTTTGCCGGGTGGTGGATTAGCCTGCAGTAGATGCTAGCTGAGGAAGGGAGGTTGCCATACTTCTGAATGAAGATGGACATTTTAATAACCAAATTGAGACTGTTTTGACTCAGAGTGACTGTAGGTCTTTTATTAAATTAAAGCGATTAGAAAAAACATAGAGCTAGCCAAGTGTTCATCCAGGGGTGGGAGAAGAACTACATTGAATAAATATTAAGAAAAAAGTGAAGTACAAAATGAAATTGCTTTTGAAATTGCATCTCTCAAGTGATACTTATTCGGTGTATTGATTACATAATTGAATTTAAAGAATCTAGAAACACCAAATGCTTTTAACTCATAAACCTTATCTTTTAAGTTTGAAGTGGTCTTCTGAAAGCTAGCTTAAATTTAATGGTGAAGCTGGACTTTTTGTAAATTTTATTTCTTAAGTTGATAATAGGGAAAGAAATGTTAGCTTTTTTCCAGTTGTCATAAGACTTGTGTTTTTCTAGTTGTTGGCTTACTGATAATGGCCTAGAATGGAAAAGTGTAGTTTTTCGAGTAAGAGACTGTATGTATTAATAATATTTCTTTAGAAAACATGTTTAATGTTTTGAATAAATAAGCTTGATTTTATTTTATTTTATTTTATTTTTTGAGACTGCGTCTTGCTGTCACCCAGGCTGGAGTGCAGTGGCATGATCTTGGCTCACTGCAGCTTCTGCCTCCATGGTTCAAGCAATTGTCCTGCCTCAGCCTCCTGAGTAAGCTGGGACTACAGGCACACACCAACACGCCTAGCTAATTTTTGTATTTTTAGTAGAGATGGAGTTTCACCATGTTGGCCAGGATGGATTCAATCTCTTGAACTCGTGATCCACCCGCCTTGGCCTCCCAAAGTGCTGGGATTACAGACGTCAGCCAATGCACTCGGTCTCATTTAATTTTTCTACTGGCAGTGACATAGATACTTTTTCTTTCTAGTGGCTATTCCAAAATGACCTGAATTAGGAAAATGTTGCTAGGTTTTAATACATTTCTACTGCTATTTTCCATTTTTATGCAATGACTTTGTAGGCTAATTATAGAAAATTGCATTTGGCCCTCATTATGTGGGTGTGAAATTAACTTTGTTGCTGATGGACTGACATTTAGAGTATAATTAGGTTGCATTCTTTCCTGGGATTCTGTGAACTATATTTTAATGCCCTTCAGTGAGAAGGAGATAGATGCATTTTTAAAATTTTCTGAAAGCTGTTGTGGTTGATCAAACTTTACAAACTATGAATATTGTGATTTATTTTTACATTAAAAATTTTAGTTTTTCAATTAAAATTTTTACATTAAAAATTTTGCAAGGAATTTTCTTCTTACTAGTTATCCATATGACTTCCTTCTGGCTATAAAAAACTTGTAGGGGATTTTTTGTGTACATGATTTACCCTGATATTTATTATTTTAAATATGTTTCATCAATATAGAGATAATATTTTTAAACTTTTGCTAAAAGTTATTTTATTATTAATATTTCTGATTTTACTTTAAATTAGAAAAGACTAGGTGGGGTGTGGTGGCCTCCCAGCACTTTGGGAGGCTGAGGCGGGGGGATTACTTGAGCTCAGGAGTTTGAGACCAGCCTGGGCAACAAAGTGAGATTCCATCATAAATTTAAAAAAATCAGAAAAATTAGCTGGTTGTGGTAGCATGCATCTATAGTCCCAGCTATAAAGCTGGTTGAGGCAAGAGGATTGTTGAGCCCAGAAGGTTGAGGCTGCAGTGAGCTGTGATTGTGCCACTGCATTCCAACCTGGATGCCAGAGCAAGAACTTGTCTCGGGGGAAATAAAGACTGCGCCTTAAATTCTGATCCTTGAGGGTAGTACAGCATGCAAACTATATTTGCATCATTTGCAATGTAAAATACGATATTCTTAAAGGAAGAAAATTTGAAAGCAGATGGAATGGTATTCCAGGCTAGTCAGCGACTGGGGGTCACATTTGCCTCTCACTTGCCACTGACATCATGTATAAGCCATTACTCACAGCAGTTGGGAATACCATTTGGAAATGTAATCACAAAACCTTCTTATAAATATCTTTCTGTATATTTTCATTTCTTACTTCAATACATTTCTCTAATTTTGTTCCAGGCTCGCAGGAAGGAGGTATTTATCCAGGAACGGTATGGGAGATTTAATCTAAATGACCCGTTCTTGGCGCTCCAGAGAGACTATGAAGCAGGTGCTGGTGACAAAGAGAAGAAGCCAGTTTGTACCAACCCCCTCTCCATCCTGGAAGCAGTCATGGCCCACTGCAGGAAAATGCAAGAAAGGATGTCCGCACAGCTGGCTGCTGCTGAGAGCAGACAAAAGAAGGTACTGAGACGTTCAAATGGTCATTTTCCCCTCAACATGGTGTCAGATGAAGAGATCATCTCCAAGGTTGTTGTTTGTTCTAAGTACTACATTTTCAGGCAGGATTGCAATAAGTACTTAGAAGTGCAAGAGGCTGAAAGATTATTTAAGTCAATGTAACTTCATGTTTAAAATGTAGCTCAAAATAACACTAAACTATAATGGAAGTATAACAGAAAAATTATGTTTCTGATAATGGTTACTTTGGTGCTTTCTTTAAAATCTCTCTCTCTATATATGTTTTTGGATTTCCTACTGCCTTCAAGAAAACATGCTTAGCTGCTAGGTAGGTTAATCCAGTGATGCAACCAGGACTCTCTGATCATATGGTAACATCCCAACTTATTTTATCCAGCTTCTGTCTAAAATAGTTATTTGCAATTAGAAATTATTATTTTTTTTTATTTTTGGTGAGGGAGGGAATAAAAATAATGTGAAGAAAATGGAATGCACGTTTCTGTGGTATATCCAGTCTCACAATGTGTCATCTTAAAGTCCTGGTTAGTGTCAAACTCACCTCTGTGATGTGATGGTTGTGTCAGCTGCAGACCTCAAGCCTCCTGCTCACATGTGTTTCATTTAAACCAACCTCCTCCCCTCCCCCTCCCCCACCATCACACACATATTCCTTTCACTTGAGCATCTACTTCAAAGAGTACAAAGTTCAATAAAAACTTACCTTGATCAGCCAGAAGGAAATAGAAATTTAAATTTTGTCCTTCCAGTACACTGCCAAAACTATTGATTCCTTTTATTAAAAAAGAGAGAAAGTTAGAAGTTGATGCTGCGTGGTATGATTAAAATTAAAACTAATGGGCCAGATGCAGTGGCTCATGCCTGTAATTCTAACACTTTGGGAATCCGAGGCAGGCAGATCATGAGCTCAGGAGTTCAAGACCAGCCTGGTCAGCATAATGAAACCCGTGTCTACTAAAAATAATTAGCCGGGCATGGCGGTGCACCCCTATAATCCCAGCTATTTGGGAGGCTGAAGCAGGGAATTGCTTGAACCCCGGGAGGCAGAGGTTGCAGTGAGTTGGGATCACACTACTGTACTCCAGCCTGGGTAACAGAGTGAGACTCCATCTCAAGAACTGAAAAAACAATTAAAACTAATATGTTCTCTTCACCATTTTTATCAAAGCATAAATTAAAATGTTTCTTTTATTTGGCCTTTTCAGAGAACTTCTAATATCTCATATGTAACACCTGGTTGATGATTAACTTGAATGTACTATACTTATAAATATTTATGATAGATATCATTTCATGTGTGTCTTTTCCCTGAAATTTTATCTTTACTTTAACATAAATGCCAGTGTTCTGGTATGGGTGCTGCATAAAAGGAAACATTTTTCTCAGTAAGTTACATGGTAGAAAACTAAAGCACTGAGTAAAATAGGTAAGAAAAATAAAAGACTTTCCATAGCTGTAAGGCAAAATCAGACAGTTTAACTCTGGACTTTGAAAACCCTTTACAAAGCCCTGCAGACAACCACTAAGATGTCTGAAGGTTTTCAAAACTTTCCACAAACCTCATAAACAAGAGCCAATGAATTTCAGCTGATGTCACTGAAACTCATTTGTATTTCTTGGATGGGATACATTTCAGTTATGCATGTAATATGTCAAATTAGTTATCTCATATAAATTATTTCTGCCGGACTTTATACTGCATTATAAAAAATTAAGAAAACATTTTGTTGTCCTTGAATATATAAAAAATACTTTCCTAAATTTTACTTCTGTTCTGCCTTTAAAAAAAACTCATTTCTCTTTTAGGAGAAAAAAAGTACATTTCTAGTTAGATCAAAGAGTTTATTATCTAGCTGATTTTTAAAAAAAATCAACTTACATCCTGTTTGTTTCTGAATGACTGGGTCATTTCCAACCTGGCTAATAGTGAAAGGAAATTGTTTCTGTCCTATGGGTCCTGAGAGGCTAATATAAAATGAGCTAGTGGTGAGTCTTCCATGTATAATGGGAATACAGGAGTCCTTCATAGCTAAATTCATTGGCTGTGTAGTCTCAGTGAAGGGTTTATCTGACACAGTGCTACATTTTATTCTTAAAAATATTATATTTTAGTAGATTATAGTGTATGAGAAGAGCTATAATTTGTACTCTTACTTACCCTGTGTCTTAAAAGGAAAATATCATATCAGCTGATGAAAGCAAAAACACCAAAATCATCTCTTTAACAACAAAATTATCTGTCACCTTTAGTCCTCTGAAATCACATATTTTAACCAAATGTCTTCAGTTCCCTCGCATATAAATTGCAGCTTTAGAAATCTAAAAGCCATAAGGAAAAAAAATCCATTATTTTAAATGAGTCCAGTTCTTTAAATCACTGCCAGAACAAATGTCTGGGAAAGCAAAGGCTCCATTATCTATGATTTCAGTATTTATTATCTGACACCAGGCATATCTCTTTGGTAATTTTAAGGCACTTGGCCTGAGTGCTGCTCTGGTTGGCCTCTCAAGGCGGGAGAACAGGGTCCATGCTCATTCATGCATTGGCTCCTGCTGTGACTACTAATAGGCAGGTTAACTGTTTGGTAATTTGTATGCCAGGGAAATTTGGGCAAGAGTCAATTTGGCAAATGGACTGAGCCTGTAAAGCCACTTTGAATAAGCTAATGAGTAATCATCATGGGGAACTTTGCCTCTGGTAATCCACTTCCCATTTTGAGCCAGTAACCCAGGATGAAATGATATTTGGAGGTTTTTTTTTTTTCTTTTGTAATCTTGTCTATCATCTTTTAATGGAATTTCCATTCTAATTTATTTGAACAGTAGGGAGGAAATCTATATATTTTCAAACATTTTCTTCACATGTAGAAAACGTAAGTTCTAGCCCTGAAATAGGAAACGCCTTTTAATTTGATCAGAACCTTTGAATATATGTAGCCAAAATAATAACCAGGAAATTCAGAGGGGGAGAAATTCTTTTCACCAGTGAAAAACCAAAAATAGCTGTGTGTATTAGATACAGCTTCTTCTACATGGCAGCGCATCATAAATAGGCGAGTTGCATGGCTATAGATGCCTCAGACGGGATTCTTAGTTGTGAGCAGATAAGCCAGTGTTCACCTAGAAGGCAGAAAGGGCATTTATTGACTGGTTTACAAAAATAGTAGTTGGCTTACAACGTGGTTCAGCATGGCTGGCAAAGCCTAGACGACCAGCTCTTCCCGGGCAGCATCACAGACAGACAAGTACCCTTGTCTGTGAAAAAAATGAAAAGATATATTAATATATTTTGTTGTCATGTATTTGTTTACCAGATTGAGCATATGGGTTGAGTTGCCCAGGGGGAGAAGAGCACAATGATGCAATGAGCCTTAAAATATTTTGGGGGAGCAGTAGAGAATGTGGTTAAATGTTGTAAGAGTGTTTTGTGGTGTAGCAGATATGCACTCCGCTTTCTCAACTTATAAATGGCCATAATTGCTTTCCTCTCAGTTTTCCACTTTGAATTAGAACTAATTGCCTTTACATTGCTGCTGGGCTCCCACCTACATAGTTTTCCCTTTCATTCTATAAAAACATGTGCTTGGTGCCTCTTCATTCATAGCTTTCAGTTTGGGTGCTATTCTTGGAGCAACCACCCACTTTCTCACTACCAGGGAAGCTGTGTTCATTCTTCTGAGCTCTTCCACACAATCCATTGCTTTTTGCAAAAGAGTTCAGTGATCCTGCTCCATGCAAAGTTACCCTCAGCCCCTACTTGAAAGTGTTAGAAGGAGATATAAATTCGACAATAACATAACAAAGTCACCTGGAACTCCATAATTTATGTATACTGTGGTTCATTTTTAGTATGTAGTCCTGCCATCTGATCATCTCTAAAATTTGTGTAAAGTGCTACAATCAGATAAGTGGAATTAATGAATTTTCATATCCTTTGTAGTTTCTAGTGTGGTTTCTTATATGCAGTTCAGTACATATTTTCTCTCCAAAAGTTCTTTAAGACATTGCTTGTGATAGTAGGTGAACAAACTTATACCAAGATGACTCAAATTTAAACAAGTGTGCATTCACTGCTGTTATACTGACCTGAAAAAATTCTTTAAAAAATTATTACTGGAAACTACTTTATTGATGATAGGAAAAAAATATAGGAAAGAATGAATGACTCAGTGGCTATAATGACAGGAGGTTTCAAAGTTATATGATGAAACTCAGAATACTTAAGGGATTCTCCTGAGATGTAATGAGCTCACAGTGCCCTACGCCCTATTAAATCAACTCATTTGATCCTTAGGATATTATTATTACATATAGTAGAGGCTATTATTATTGCATTTTAAGCATAAGTAAGTTAAGATCACAGAGAAGTTGAACAACTGTGCCTGTTGGTTTGAAGACAAGCAATCGGCCTTCAGAGTTCACATACTTAGCTGCTGTGTAAGGGCAACTTTCCTATAGCCACTTGGTGGGAGAACTCAGATCTCCTGCTTCTCAGGCTTCCTATATGTACTGAATTTATTTCTTACTGGTAAAAAAATTGAACATCTTTAATAGTTTGGATTCTTTGTGATTTTATGTCATTCCTTCAAGCGTCTTAAGATTGAGAGACACAGATTTTAACACATTTATTCCCCATAGCTCTGCAATTAAGAGAATATCCCAAAGTTTAGAGGGAAAAAAAATGCCTATCTGATGCTGGATCAAAAGACCAGCTCTAAAACCCTTATCCTTAAATGTGTGATCGACCTAGTTCATGCTTCAAAAAGAGCTAAAAACATGAAGGATGGGTATTCAAAAGTCATTCAAGATGTATAAAACAATCAAGAACAGAGGCCACAGAAAAGATTTTGCTTGAAATGGGCTTTTTCCTACATATTATGGAAAATGAACATGCAGGAAATTTTTTAAGTTCCAGGGTACATGTGCAGGATGTGCAGGTTTGTTACATAGGTAAATATCCATGGTGGTTTGCTGCACCTATTAAC